TAAAAACTTCCCAAACTTGGGGAAAGAAATAGACACTAAAATCCAGGAAACCCAAAGAGAACCAAAAAAAAAATTTTTTTAATCCAAAGAGACCCACACCAAGACACATTATAATTTAATTGTTAAAGAAAAAGTTACTTTTACATAGAAGGAAACCCTAATAAGACTACAAGCAGATTTTTTTCAGCAGAAACCTTGCATGCTTGAAGGGAGTGGAATGATATATTCAAAGTGCTGAAAGAAAAACAACTGCCAGCCAAGAACTGCTTTACCCATGAAAGTTTCCTTCAGAACTTGAGGGGAGATAGATTTTCCCAGGCAAACAAAAGCTGAAGGAGTTCATTACCACTAGAGCAGCCTTACAACAAATGTTAAAAGAATTTCCTCAAGTTGAAAGATATTCAGTACAGATGGAAACCAAAAGAGAGTAGGAGTAGTTTTACTATATCAGGCCAAATAGACTTTAAGTCAAAACTATAGCAAGAAAGAAAGGTCATTATATAATGATAAAAAGGTCAATTTATTCAAAGAATATAACACTTAAAAATGTATATGTACCAAACAATGGAGTGCCTAAATATATAAAGCAGATATTTACAGATCTGAAATGAGAGATAGAAAACAATAAAAATAATAGTAAGGGACTTCAATATTCCACTTTCAACAATGAATAGATCACCCAGGCAGATAATCAGGAAAGAAACATTGGATTGTAGCTACCTATTAGACCAAATGGACCTAACAGATACATACACACATTCCATGATACAGTAACTGAGTACACATTTTTCTTAAGGGCACATGGAACATTCTCCAGGATAGGTTATATATTAGACCACAAAACAAGTCTTAACAAATTTTAAAAGATTGGAATCATACCCAGCATCTTCTCTGACCACAGTGACATACAACTAGAAATCAGTAACAAAGACAAAAACTGGAAAATACACAAATATTTGGAGATTAAATAATATGTTCCTGAACAACAGTGAGTCAAAAAATTAAAAATTTTTTCAGACAAATGAAAAAGGAAACACTATATGCCAAAATGTATACGATGCAGCAAAAGCAATTCAAAGATAAAAGTTTATGATGATAAATGCTTAACTTAAGAGAAAAAGATCTCAATCTAATCTCACACCTCAAAAAATTAAAAAAGAAGAAATAGGCACAAAATTAGTAAAAAGAAGAAAACTACTTGAGCATAAATATATAAAATAGAGACTAAAAAATAATAGAAAAGATAAAAGAGACTAAGGGATTTTTTAAAAATTTTTTTATTGTTATGTTAATCCCCATACATTACATCATTAGTTTTAGATTCATTGTTTGTGCATAACACCCAGTGCTCCATGCAGAACGTGCCCTCCTCAATACCCATCACCAGGCTAACCCATCCTCCCACCCCCCTCCCCTCTAGAACCCTCAGTTTGTTTTTCAGAGTGAGACTAAGGGATTTTTTAAGGATAAACAAAATTGATTAACTTTTAGGTAGACCAACTAAGAAAAAAAGAGAAAAGACTCAAATGAATAAGACCAGACATGAAAGAAGAGAGATTACAAATGATGACACAAAAATGAAAAGAATCACAAGAGACCACTATGAACAATTATTAACCAACAAATAGGATAACCTAGAAGAGATTGATAAATTCTTAGAAACATGGGGCGCCGAATATGTTCCAAACAAACAAACAAACAAAAATAGGATAACCTAGAAGAGATTGATAAATTCTTAGAAACATGGGGCGCCTGGGTGGCTCAGTCATTAAGTGTCTGCCATCAGCTCAGGTCATAGCCTCAGGGACCTGGGATCGAGCCCCACATCGGGCTCCCTGCTCAGCGGGGAGCCTGCTTCTCCCTCTCCCACTCCCCGTGCTTGTGTTCCGTCTCTCGCTGTGTCTCTCTCTGTCAAATAAATAAAATCTTTAAAAAAAAATTCTTAGAAACATGGAACCTATAAAAACTAAATTATAAAGAAGTATAAAATCTGATCAAACCAATTACTAGTAAGGAAGCTGAATAATCAAAAACTCCCAACAAAGAAAAGCTCAAGACCAGAGGACTTCATTGGTGAATTCTACCAAACATTTAAAGAAGAATTAATGCAAACCTTTCTCAAACCCTTCGAAAAAATTAAAGAGGAGGGTACACTTCCAAACTCATTTTATATGGCCGACATCACCCTGATACCAAAGTTAGACAAGGACACACAAGAAAACTAAAGATCAGTGTCCCTGATGAACATAGATGCAAAAATACTCAACAAAATACTAGCAAGCCACATTCAACAACACTTTAGAAGAATCATACACCATGAGCAAGTGGATTTTATCCCTGTATATTAGCCCACAGCTAACATCATATTCAATGGTGAAAAGCTGAAAACTTTTCCTCTAAGATTAGGAAAAAGAGATGTCTACTCTTGCCACTTATCTTCAACATAGCACTGCAGGTTGGGAAAAGAGATAAAAGCCATCCAAGTAAGAAAGAAGTGAAATTGTGTCTACTGGTGACATTATCTTATGTATAGAAAACCCTAAAGATTCTACCCCCCCCCAAAAAAAACCCTACTAAAACTAAGAAACAAATCAGTAGAGTTGCAGAATACAAAGTCAGGACACAAAAATGAGTTGATTTCTAGACTCTAACGATGAATTATCAGAAAGAGAAATTAAGAAAGTCCCATTTATAGTAACAACAAAAAGAATAAAATGCTTAGGAATAGTTTTAAACAGGGAGGTCAAAGATCTGTACACTGAAAACTATAAAACATTAATGAAAGAAATTTAAGAAGACACACATAAATGGAAAAGGATTCTATGTTCATGGACTGAAAAAATTAATATTGTGCAGATGTCCATTCTACGAAAAGCAATCCTTATCAAGGCAATCCTTATCAAAATTCCAATAGAAATAGAAAAAACAATCCTAAAATTTGTATGGAACCACGAAAGACCCCAAATAGCCAAAAAGATTCTGGGAAAGAAGAAGAAAGCAGGAGACATTATACTTCCTGACTTCTATGTTAGAAAACTATAATAATCAAAATAGTGTAATATTGGCATAAAAGCAGACACATAGATTACTGGAAGAGAGTAGAGAGCCCAGAAATAAACCCATGCATATATGGTCAGGTAATTTTCAACAAAAGTTCCAGAAATACATAATAAAGAAATGACAGTCTCTTCAATATATGGTGTTGGGGAACCTGGATATCCACATGCAAAAGAATGAAATTAGACCACTACCTTACACTATACACAAAATCAACTCAAAATGAATTAAAGACATACACATAAGACCAGAAACCATAAAACTCCCAGAAGAAGACTTAGGGGAAAAACTCCTTGACATTGGTGTTGGTAACATTTTTTTGGATTTGACACCAAAAGCAAACACAGTAAAAACAAAAATTAATGAGTGGGACTACATCAAACTAAAAAGTTTCTGCACAGCAAAGGAAACCATCAACAAAATAAAAAGGCATAGTATGAAATGGGAGAAAATATTTGAAAACTATATATCTAATGAGAGATTAATATCCAAAATATATAAGGAACTCATATAGCTCAAGAGCAAAATAAAACAAAACCCCATATAATCCAACCAAAAAATGAGCAGAGGACCTGAAAAGACATTTTTTCTGAAGAAGACACACAAATGGCCAATAGGTACATGAAAAGATGCTCATCACTAATCATCAGGATAGGCAAATCAAAACCACAGTGAGATATTACCTTCACCTGTCAGGGTTTGTGTTACCAAAAAGACAAGAGATAACGAGGCTAGCAAGGATGTGGAGAAAAGGGAACCTTTGTGCACTGTTGGTAGGAATGTAAATCATTACAGCCACTATCGAAAACAGTGTGGAGGTTCTTCAAGAAATTAAAAATAGAACTTCAGTGTGATTCAGCAATCCTACTTCTGGGTATATAGATCCAAAGGAAATGAAATCACTTCCTAGGAAAGATTTCTGCATTCCCACATTCACCACATTGTTCACAACAGCCAACTCATGGAAACAAGCTAAGTGTCCATTGACAGATGAATGGATAAAAATGATGTGATGCAAACACACACACACACACACACACACACACAATGGAATATTATTCATCCATAAAATAACAAGGAAATCCTGCCATTTGTGACAGCATGGATGAATCTGGAGGGCATTATATTAGTGAAATGAGCCAGACAGATAAAGACAAATACTATGGTATCACTTATATGTGGAACCTCAAAAAAAAAATAAATGAACAAACAAACAGATTCATAAATACAGGAAACAAACTGTTGGCTACTGCGGGGAAGAGTGAAATAGGTGGAACTTGAGAGTACGTGCTGAGAAAGAGCATGAAACTGACAAATACCGTATGTTATCACTTATTTGTGAAAAAAAAAAAAAAAAAAGTCGAACTCATAGAAATATGAGTGGTTTCTATGAGTTCGAAAAATGGTGGTTGCCAGGGGCTGGGATGTGGATGGCATAGGGAGAGGCTGGTAAAAGTGTTCAAACTTTCAGTCTTAAGATGAGTTAAGTGCTAAGGACCTAATATATAGCATGGTGATTATTGTTGATAATTCTGTAATGTGTCACTAAAATTTGCTAAGAGATTAGATCTTTTTTTAAAATTTTTATTGTTATGTTAATCACTTATACATTACATCATTAGTTTTTGATGTAATGTTCCATGACTCATTGTTTGTGTATAGCACCCAGTGCTCCATGCAGAACGTGCCCTCTTTAATACCCATCACCAGGCTAACACATCCTCCCACCCCCCTCCCCTCTAGAACCCTCAGTTTGTTTTTTAGAGTCCATCGTCGCTAAGAGATTAGATCTTAAGTGTTCTCTCACACACACACAAAAGTAAGTATATGAAATAATGAAAGTATTAACTTGGTTGCGGGAGGCCTTTCACAATGTATATGTGTATATATGTATATATTACCACGTTTTGTACTTTAAATATATTACAATTTCATTTGTCAATTATACCTCAGTGAAGCTAGTTGAGGGTGGGGGGGGAGAGGGAGGGTAAAGAAAAGAGAGAGGATAATTACACTATACCCTTAAGATAATGCCACATCTTGGCAAAAGTGTCGGGATATGCTCATTAGCAATACTCCGCTTGTAAGATAGGAGTTCCAGGAGAAGCATTAGGGCAGAATGCAGCTGAATAGTGTCACTGAGATCCAGAAGTGTAGGAAACTGAACAAGACCAGGGTCCACTACAGGAAGGTCTGGCCATGCCAGGTCTGCTGGACCCAAAGGGAAGTCCATGAGTGGTTTAAGAGCAGGGACTGTGTGATTCTGTTGACCATTTGTACTGCTTCCCAGAGCCCAGACAACACGTACCACTTTACTGCTAATTACAATTTATTCTTTCTCTCTGCCCACCCATCCACTCTTCCTGCCACATTAGCCCACCCAACACTGTTTTGTGTTCAGGGCTGCTTCACAGGGGCACACAGTGCCACTGGTTCCAGTCACAGGGCAAGGTGATATGATTCAGACTGTGACTCATTTTCTGTATGATTTTGTTGGTTACAAATGTATGGTAATAGGTAGGGTAGTCAAGTTTGTCCAGAGCATGGATGTGAACATCCATGAGATAGGAGATGAGACCCTTGTTCCGGTACTCAGGCAGAGTACCCCCCATCCGTATCTCGTCTGTCTGGTCCATCAGGCTCCAAGACACAGGGGTCCCCTGGGGCCCCAGCAGGCAGAAGGTGGGGAAGTTCTGGATACAGCGCTCGATGAATCTCTGGCTCCTGTCATTGCCACCGAAATGCCAGAATTTATTCACCAAGGCAGCATGAGTAACATCCATTGAGGAGAGTTTAAACATCTCTTGGTTGCTGTTGAGAACAAGGGAAAAGAACACCCCGTAATATCACACATACTGCGGAGTATTATATTTGTTTTCCCCAAAACTGTCTTCAGACAATGCAAATTGGAGCACAGTAAAGGCATAGATTCTGTAGCCAGATTGCCTGAATTCACAATCTTTTTATAAAATGGAGGTATTAACACAGTTGTGATATTAGTAGCACCCCTAAATAGCATAAGAGCTATCACATGATAAGTACCTAGGACTTGTGCCACACGAAAAATAAGAATTACACAAAAATAAAGCATTATTTTTGTCAACATTGCTGTTACTCTCCACTGAAGATGGGAGAATTGATAACATTCCTGTTCTACACATAAGAATAGGTAAGCAGAAAATAAGCAAGTGCCTCAAAGCATACGCTAGCAAGCTATAAAGCCAGAACTTGGTATCTTGTAATCCTGGAATCTTTGGATTCTCCTTGGCCACTGTGGGAGAGCTGAAGTCCAGGGAGAGGCAGGGATGTGGAGTGCAGGCAGCCCCCGCCTTACAGAACATTGAAGTCTGAAGGCTGCTGCAGTGGTGGAGAAGTGTTGGGGAGGTGACCTGGAAAGAGCCCACAATGTGGAAACAGGAAATGTAGACATGAGCCCCAGTTATGCCCTTAACCATCCACGTGACCCGAACAAGCTGTTTCATCAACTGGACCTGTTTTCCATCAGGAAGATGGGGATAATGTCTCCTACCTTCTCTATCTCATGGGATGGACAAGACAATCAAATGAGATTTTAGATTTGGATGTGTCTTTCAGATGTAAGGTGCAATACAGTGTGAATAAGGCTTTTCCAGGCATATTAACACACAAGAGGGCCATAGGATTGGACGTCTCCAGATCAAATCCCTGTATCAGTTTTAATTCTATTCAGGCATAAGTGGAGGGAAATATATAATATGTTTAAATTCTTTTTATTGGAAAACTTTTGTTCTGAGAAGTAAATTCATTGCATATTTATGAGGCATCTACTTTGTTTTCTGTTCTGGCTACTGAAAACTTATTGGTGAACAATATAAGGAGTGTCCCCTGATCTTGTGGAGTTTGAATTGTTGTAAGGGAAGAATCAAACAACAAATAGGTCAATAAATACACAAAAAAGCTGATTTCGGATAGTGATAAGTGCACTGAGGAAAATAAAAATTGGGTTTTGTGATGAAGAATTATGGGAAGGGGTGGTTTTAGGTTGCTCTGAGGAGAACTCTCTAAGGAAATGATATTTGAGAATATGAATGGCAAGAAAGAAGCAACTATGCAAAGATCAGAGGGAAGGACATTTTAGGGAAGAACAGATGCAATGATCCAAAGGTATGTGTGAGTGTATGAAATCAAGTCACAGAAAAAAGGCCAAAGCTGCTGGTAGGAGGAAGCAAGAGGGACAAGATGAAGTCCAAGAGATGGTGGATTGCAGGTCTCATAGGACCCTAAATGTCTGTAATGGGCATGTGAGCTGAAAAAAAACAAAACAACACTGATGACTTTTAAGTGATTGACTTTTAAGTGAATTGATATAATCCATGTACAAAAGGATCATCCTGGAAATTGATTGGAGGGAGGCAAGAGTGAACATAAGGAAAGAAGTTGGGAGGCCACTTCCATACAGAAAGATGAGAGTAATGCAGAGTATCTTTTTTCAAACTCACATGATTTTGCGTCTGCCAGATTTAAGAGGTAAGTTCTTTGCCTCCAGCAAGGAAGGGAGCAGTTTACTTGCTGTCTCGGGCAACATATACATAATGCCTTGTTTTTGCTTGACCTTGACCAATTTAGCAGCTGCAAGATTTTGTATCACTTCGTTCAGGCTGGACTGCGAACCTAGACAGGGGTAAGGTAAGGTGAGAAATAATTGCCCGTGTAGATGCTACAGAAGCTTGCTGGTGGAAATATACAGAATTTAAAGTCAGGCAGTATTGCTTCTGGTGTTGCCTTTAACCATGTGACCATGCCCAAGTCACTCTCGTATGCAAGCAGATAATACTAGACATCCTGACTATATCACTGTGAAATCAGTGGAGAAATGGTATCTTAAAAATAGTAGCCAACCTTGAGTGTGCACATAATTCATGCCCACGTATTGGTCTAATACCACATTTAATTCTTCCACTGACCCTATGTTTTAGGTACTTTTACTACCCTCATTTTTTTTTACATATGAGGAAACTGAATAATAGATAAGTTACATCACTTGCTCAAATCACAAAGCAAGTAACAGGAAGAGCAAGGATGCCACCCTAGAGAATCTGACTCTGGAGGGCATGCTCACACCCATGGTTGTTCTTGTGACCTGGAGGTTCTCCCTGGCACAAGGAACTGTCATTCTTATTCTAGGAATGGAAGGCCAGAGGGGGAGCTCTGCTTGCACACCTAATCACACTAAGGGACCCTGAATATGTCTGCAAAATATATCATGAATCCTCAGCTAACAAGAAATTCCATTACTCACAGTTACTTGTGTCAAGGCTATAGTTTGCAATGTTAGAATTCTATTCCACTGAAGAGGGGGTAGCAGCTGATGCAAAGAATGAACATCAAGCTGAGTGGGGTTTCGTAGAGCTTCCTACCCCTACAAAGGCTGTAGGGGAATGTTCTCAGGATGAAAAGTGACCCTGCAGTTGTAGCCATGAACAGTCACAGAAGCCAGCACACATCCCAGATCCCTTACTTACTTTGGATTTGCAAATGTTGTTTCCAGTTGATGATACCTGATGCACCAAGGAATTCTTGACAGTTTTGGGGGTTCTTAGTATAAACTTGGTAGGTGTTGGTGTAGTGATCAAAATCATCTGTCATTTCCTGTTTGGTTAGGTAATGTGGAATAAATAAAATTGAATATGCCCAGTGATTAGAATACTTGGCCTTTGTATTTCATTATACTGTGCTATTTTATAAACTTATAAATATTGATATTTTTTCTTGATGTATTCTCATTATTCCTGAATCATTTACATCATGAGAGCAAGTCAGGGATTTAATCAATTATTCAATTTATGGTTAAGAAAAACTTGCTAAACTAGATATTTATATGTTGTGTTATAATTTCAAGTCAACCAAATGTGCACTGGTTTAGAAAGCATTCTTCTATAATTCTGTAATCCTCAGGAGAAAGAAATTACTGTCAAAGGCAAGCTTCCATTGCAAGAGTAAATCTTATTCTATTTAAAAGAGTCTCAAAAAAAAAAAAAAGAGTCTCAGAACATATGGATTATAAACATAACAATATTGAAATTGACACAGGTAACCTTGTATTGGAATTTTCACTTTTATGTGATATAGCTACACAAAATAAAGACACATGATGTCCTTATTTTTTCTTTTAAATTGTTTATTTAAGTGCAATCAATATACAACATTATATTAGTTCCAGGTGTACAATACAATGACTCAACACTTCTATACATTACTCAGTGCTCATCATGATAAATGCACTCTTAATCCTCTTCACCTACTTCACCCATTCCCCCCACCCCCACCCCCCGCCTCTGGCAACCACCAGTTTTTTTTCCTGTATTTAAGAATCGATTTTTTGTCCCTTTTTTCTTTGTTTGTTCATTTGTTTTGTTTCTTAAATTCCACATATGAGTGAAATCATGTGGTATTTGTCTTTCTCTGACTGACTTATTTAACATTATACCCTCTAAGTCCATTCACATTGTTGTAAATGACAAGGTTTCATTCTTTTTAATGGCTGAGTAATATTTCATTATATATATATGTATATATAATATATCCATACATATATAAAAAACACTTTTTCTTTATCCATTCATATATTGGTGGAGAATTGGATTACTTCAATATCTTGGTTATTGTAATAATCCTGCAATAAACATAGGGGCACATATATCTTTTCAAATTATTATTTTCACTTACTTTGGGTAAATACCCAATAGTAGAATTATTGGATCATATGGTAATTTAATTTTTAAGTTTTTGAGGAACCTCCTTATTGTTTCCGTAGAGACTGCACTAATATACATTCCCAACAGTGTCCAAGGGTTCCTTTTGTTCCACAACCTCATCAACACTTACTTCCTGTGTTTTTCATTTGAGCCATTCTGATAGGTATAAAGTGATATCTAATTGTGGTTTTAATTTGCATTTCCCTGATGATTAGTGATATTGAGCATCTTTCATTGTGTCTGTTGGCCATCTGTATGTCTTCTTTGGATAAATGTCCGTTCAGGTCCTCTGCCTATTTTTTAATTGGGTTATTTGTTTTTTTGGTGTTGAGTTGTATAAGTTCTTCATATATTTTGGATATTAACCCCTTATTGGACACATGATGTCTTTAAAATGTAAACCACGGAAGACATGAACAGACACTTCTCAAAAGAAGACATACAAATGGCTAACAGACACATGAAAAAATGTTCATCATCATTAGCCATCAGGGAAATTCAAATCAAAACCACATTGA